TTTTGTTTCTTTTTTTATTGAAGTGTTGTCAGTTTACAGTGTTGCATCCATTTCTGGTGTACAACATGTTTCAGTCATACATATACACACGTATATTCCTTTTCGTGTTCTTTTTCATTATAGGCTACAAGGTATTGAATATAGTTCCCTGTGCTCTACTAATGAATGATGTTTTAAATCTTTCCCTATTCTTGGAATTGCTCAAGTTGTTGCACATTTATTTTTCTTTTATTATTATTATTTTCTTATTTTTATTTTTTGTTGAAGTATAGTCGTTTTTACAATGTTTTGTCAGTTTTGGTTGCACATTTATACGCGTGAACATTCATGGAGCTCCTGGCAGTGGCGAGAATCGAAGCAAACATGCTTGTGTTCTCCGTAAGTCAGTGCTTCCTGCCTCTGTATTCCCACTGATGTGGACATTGCTAGGTGAGCTTGGTGGTCAGCAACAGCCTTGGACAGACACAGATAAACCAAAATGCATTTGATTTGGAGAACACACACAGCCCTGATCACCTCTGAGGTCATCTCCGTGGCTTGTGGCTCAGTTTGGGCAGCCAGAGAAGAGAACTGCCATAGCGATGATCAGCATGCGTATAACTGGATTTGTGTCTTCTCAGTGGAATGGATGAAGTCAGGCAGGAGAAATTCCCTTATGCTGGTGTCAACTGGCACGTGACCCAGATGCACAGAAACATGGCAGAGGGTATGATCACTAATGCCTCAGCTGCTGCCCCGTGTCTCTGCCTAAGCAGATGCCCCCTCCCGAGGAAGCCTCCTGCCCTGAGCTAGGGCTGTCCTCTCCGACCCTCCCAGTGCACATCAGTGCAGGAGGGTGGGCATATTCTGCCTGTCATTTGTCGCTTTCTCTTCTCTTTCCTGCCAGGTTATAAACACCTTAGTGTCGTTGAACCCAACTTTGTGTGTTTGATGCACAGTGAAGCCAAACAAACCAAAACGTCGGAGTTTGGAGTGGAGAAAGGTTTATTTCAAGGGCCATACAAGGAGAATGGGCAGCTAATGCTCCAAAGACCCAAACTCCTTGATGGATTTCAGGGAAGCATTTTTAAAGGCCAGGTGAGGAAGGAGAGTTGCACTATGTGTGATCACCTTGTTCACAATTCTCTGACTGGTTGATGGTGAGGTAACAGGGTAGTGTCACAGGAGTTAACATTATCACTTCTCAGGCTCCAGCTGGTCTGGGGGCTGTGTGCTCATGGTTATCAAGTAGTTAACTTCTTCCATGGTGGGGGTGGCAATTTAGCATCTGTAAAACAACTCAGGAAATGTGCATCACATACAGTTATCCAGGTATTTCAGTCACTAGCGATTTTGTGACTGCCATATGGCTGATTTACTGTTTAAATTGTCACCAGTTCTGGCCCATTTGCTACTTTTGTCACTACCTGTTCACATCCTTTTAATCAGGCTTTTTGACTTGGGGGAGACTACAGCTTTTCTACGAAGAGGCAGACAGAAGACATGGGGGGAGGGGTCTGTCTGGGGAAGGCTCCAAAGGGTCCTGCTCGGTTGCATTGGGAGCAGGAATCGACAGTAATAACAGCCTCTCCTTATGGTCTCCCCCACACACCTACCATTTTATACACGTTACTTTATTCAGTATGTGCCAGAACCCTGCCTTAGTTCATTCCGGCTGCCATAACAGGGCACTACAGACTGGGTGGCGTCAACAACAGAAATGTGTCTCTCACAGCTCCAGAGGCTGGAAGTCCAAGATCGAGGTGTTGGCAGGTTGGGTTTCTCCCTTGCTTATGGATGGCCACCTTCTCTCTGTGTCCTCACATGACTTTTTCATTGTTTGTTCAAATCCCTGTTGTGTGGGTCCTAATTTCTTCTTGAAAAGACCCCGTCCAGATTGCCTCAGGGCTAACCTTAACGGCCTCATTTTAACTTAATCACCTTTGTAAAGGCCCCATCTCCAAATATAGTCATATTCGGAGGTACTGGGGGTTAAGAATGAATTTTGTGGGGATAAAATTCAGCCCCGAACACACCCTAAATATTAACTATTATTATCCTGTTTCAAACCTGAGGAAACTGAGGCTCAGGGAATTAAAGTAACTTGCCCCAGGTCACACAGGTAGTCAGTGGCAGAACTGGGATTCCAAATCTCCCTAACTTCTAAACCCTTCTTCACACCTCCCAGATGACCAGTGACTCAGGTCTTAATCATTTCTGTTGTCTGTACGGTGCTTCACCCAGGACCTAGCACTTAGAAGGCACAGTAATCTATTTGCTAACTGACTGAGCAGGGGATGTGTGGGACAAGAATTTGGACCAGAACATTTGGCAGACATTCCCCAAACCCCAGCCTCCAAGGGTCGAGATCCTGCATCTCTTTTGGCAGATGGTTGCCCTTAACGTCTCATCCGTACCGTTCTGATCTGCAATCAGCGTGATTAGTGCTGTGGGAAGGAGTCACATTTTAAAGCGTTACATAGCCTTTCTGGGCCATTAAGCTACCGCCTCCTCTCAAAACACTAGAAGCAATTACATGGTAATTAAGATAAATTACTTGACCAATTTTCATAGCAAAGTGGTTGATTTTGGTCCCCCCACCACTAAATATTTAAGTCCAGACAAAGATCTTCCTGATAGTTCTTTAAACTTCCAGGGGACTTTCTGCTTATCTTCAGGAGGTCCTGTGGGCCTGTGGGGAAGGGGAAGAGGAGATTTGCATATTTAAGATGTGTGATCTGAGCCCAGCCCCCTTCAGCTAACTTTATCCCACATCTTTTTCGTGGTTTCCTTTGAGAATTCAGAATCCAAGCCCATGAGCTGCCATCTAATAACCACAGAGCCTCCAACCCCAGCCCAGCTCCACGGGCCCCTGTGGAGATAATGCCCTTGCTCACAAGCACCGTGCTCTTCCCACTGGAGACCCCCTCCTCCGGGGATAGAAATACCAGAAGGCAGCCCTGAAAGCAGGCCTTGTTTGCAGGCCCTCTCCTGCACGAAGGCTCACTTGTCTGCCTCCTTCCCCGGCCAGGGGGTGGGCTGGATTTTTCAGAGAGTGGGAAGCCCTGGGGCACTTTTGTGCTCCCAGATCAGAAGTAGGTAGGGTAATGAAGGGACAGGCTGTTACTCGGGCTGCCAGAAATCAGTCTTTCTGGGAAACAGTACAACCTCATAGCTACAGAGACCTGGGATCTGGGAGGAGGGTGTGGGGTAGCCAAGGTACAGAGAGCTGAGCCCAGCCCTGCCCAGGGACCCCAGCATCCGCACTCCACCCCCACCCCATCACCAGTGACCAAATCACTAAATCCAAAGGCCATCTGTCTCTATTGTCCGGCCCTCTGCAGCTCTTCAAAGCTCCGTCAGGACACTCTTTCTGCCTGAGGCAGGGATCCCTGCACCTTCTGGTTTTACCTCGGCCTCTCAGGCATATCTTCCTTTCTCTGTTTCTTTTCCTCTTCCTGTAAAGTGGCTCAGTCCTCAGCTTTGGGCGCCATGTGGCCTCTTCCTTTCTCTCCTGTGTCTGGATGTCACCTCGCGGAGGAAGACTTCCAGTTCTACATGCCTGGCCCCGGTTTTCTCTCTGGGGACTGTCTCGTGTCTCCAGCTCTTTGCTGGGTATTTCCACTTTAGACATACTCGGACCTGACAGACATGTGTAAACCCAGCTCCTCTTCCTGCCACTCCTGTGTCTCTCTTTTCTAAGTGCCAGACTCGCGCTTTGCCTTGTTTTCTAGATCCCATTTGGTGTCCTGTCAAATCTCCTTTTAAAAATATTCCTTTATTGCCTTCTCTCCTATTCTGATTCTTGCTCGGGCTGTCAGTGTGGTGTAGTGGAAAGAGCATGAGATTTGGGGGTTCGATTCTGACAGTGCCCTTTTCTGGTTGGGCCACTTCAGGCAAATCACTAAACTGAAGCCTTGATTCACTGTCCACAAAGCAGACACACGCAGGAGGGTGGACACCCTGCTCCCCACACTCAGCTTTCTGACCTCAATGTAGAGCAGGATTTCTCAACCGTGGCGCTCCTGCTCCGTTGGGCCAGCCAGAGACTTCTCTACTGTGGGGCCGGCCTGTGTATTACAGGGTGTTCCGCAGCATCTGCTCACTGAATGCCGGTAGCATCCTCCTACCTGCAGTTGTAACAACCGAGAGTGTCTCCAGACACTGCCACCCGTGCCCTGGGGAATTAGATGGTTCTCGTTGAGAACCACCAGTACAGAGTGATGCTCAGTCCTGGACTGTGGGTGATAAGTGTGGTCCTTGGTTTTTAGGTTTTAACCTTACAGTCATCAGCCGTCAGCCATGTGTAGGAGGGAACCAGCATAGATAATATTGGAAGGCATGGACAGGTTTTGCTGTGGTTTAATATTTTACAAATGGTATTTCCTGTCACATAGCTGAACTATAAATGCCACACATGTTTGTGATTAAATATTATGGGCTGCAGAGCATATGTGCTAGTAGTACACGCAGTACACGCAGTGGGCACCTCTCCTGCAGCTTAAGCTGAGGGTGTGCTCTGCAAAGGTTTTCTCTGCACTTGGAGTTTTGTGTTGTCTTATGATTCCTTTCTGTTTCAAGCTCTTAGTTTTCCCTTTAAAGGGAAACATTCTAGAAGGATATTTTAAACACTTCCACAGCAAACCTTTGAGAAAATTCTTCATCCATGCATTTTGCACACGGGGCTGTCCCTGCCTTTGGCTCTGTTTCTGGGATATACATCTCACAATGCAAGGAGGGTAGCTAGGTGGCAGACCTCCAGCCACACAAAACAAGAGGGAGGCTTTTTCTTTTTTTTCCAAATGCAGCTCCAGCCCAATTCCACTGTTGCATTTGGAGTCCAGCACTGGGAAGAGTCGGAGAACTCCTTATTTGGGGAGCAGCCAGTGAAACCACACAGAAACTGACATGAAGACATTCTTTCTCTAGATTATGCAGCATTGCTGTACAGCAAAAAAGTCACAGGCATAAAGGACTGAATTCAGCCCTCTGCAGAGGCGAGGGCGTTGCTGAGGGTCCAGATGTAGTCGTGGGGCTTGAGTAGGAGGGAGCTCAACACTGACACTTGGGGCGGGACTGAGAGCGGGAGGCTACTGCTAGGTGTCAGTGGTGCTTCCCTGAGCTCTGCTGAATACCTCTTCAGCCCCAGTGCTCTCCCAGCACCTGGTAGAGATGGAGAAACCAGACCCTAGAGGTCACCCGAGAGGGTAGTGGTCTCCAAGGTGACGTGCTGAAGTGGGGACAGAGTCTGCAGCTGCCAACCGCCTGGAATGCTGATTCAACAACCAAATGCCACTAATCTGATTTTGACGATCTGCAGGAAAAGGTAGAACTTCATATTTACTTGATTTAAATGATTTCTGAAGAAAAGCAAAGGAAAACTGCCAAGAACAACAGAAGTAGACCCTTGAGAATAGAGGAGGGTGGGGATGACATGGAAGGAAGGACAGATGTAGGGAGCTATGCAGAGTTTGGGGAATTAGTGTACCAAGATTGTCATCAGAAGAGAGGGTGGACCTCAATGAATGTGTTGGGCAGCAAGTTTGATAAACTGTTCACAACTAAGGGTGGGATGGCCAGATGATGCAGTCGAGAAGGGACACAGTAGGGCAGGCTGAGTTAGGAAAGCCACTCTCAGAACTGACCCAAATTGCCCCTGAGCTGTTATGGTTCTTGAGAACAGCTGTCTCAGAGTATGTCTTCCCCACAGCCTGCTGTCCCGGGGCAGACACCTGAGCTGGTCTTTGTGGAGAAACAAGCTCTTTTCAGGTGAGAACAGCGTCCTCCCGTTCAGAGAGTTCCTGGCTCCAGGAAGTGAAGGCTCCTGCCCTGGAACTTTCTCCTTAGTGAAGGCTGGAGTGGTGACACCAGCCACTCGTTGGATCTCTTGGGACTTCTGGGGTGGTGGATACTGTCAAGCAGGGGCTTTGGGATCAGACAGACCTGGTCACAGTTCAGGTCTGCCTCTAACTGGCTAGGTGACTTTAGGCAAGTAGCTTAACCTCTCTGAGCCTTATGTTCCTTTTCTAAAAAAAAAGATGACATTATTATATTGTAATATATAATTATATATTTTATCATATTATTGCATTGACCCCTCACGAGGCTGTAAAGATTCAATGAGATTATACGCATGCAGTCCTTAGCATAGCATGAGCACCTAGTAAGTACTTGATAAATGTTTGTTGGTATGGTTGATTGAACAGAATACTTCCCATTTCTGCCTAACTCTAAAATTCAGTGATTTTTTGAACTGGGGAGGGCAGTATAGAGATCTACTTTATGGAAAACTAAAAAGACCGTTTAAAATGATTCAATCAAAAATGCATTGAGCTGATATTTAGGCAGTGTGGAAAATGCCCTGCTGAGTGAGACATGGCCCCTCCTTGAAAAAGCTTCCCTCTGACTCTCCAAGAATATATGAATTTTTCCTACAATAATCTGAAAAATTATATCCCCAAATTCATTTTGGTGAGACCGAGTTTTCATACCAGTGCTTCCTATTCATAAGGCTTATTGTGAGTAATTTGCTGTATGTTTAATAGGTGTTTCTGTTGGTCAGGATTTACTTTGAAAGTAATTTAGAATAAATTCATGACAATCTCCACAGTACCCCTATAAGAATTCCCATGTGATCTCTTAAGTGGAAGAAAGGGTGGGGTGCAGGAATTGTGTGTGAGCACAGCCTTTCTCACGTTTGCCGTGGCCTGGGGCCCTCCCTTACTGACCCAGCGTTTGGAATGGTGGGGATAATTAGTCGTTTTAGAGCTTCCATAAGTATTTGAGGGGTTGTTGAAGTCTTGGTGCATCCAAGAGAATGTGCTAGGCTTCTGGATGCCAGCTGTCACATGTGTTGAGGTAAAAGATTGAAAACCACTGTCTACCTACATCCTTATTATTCCCAGGGTGAGTAAGTATGTGTATTTGCTTTTAATTTGTTCTTAAGTTCAGTGGATTCTGGTGCTGCTTTGAAAATAGGCAACTGAAAAGAATGTCTAATAGTCTTAAGGGGGAGCACACACACTCCCCTAGAAACCTTCAAACCTCAGAGGGTGATTTCTAGAAATTTCCACCATAATACATTTTCATTTTCTGTCTGAGCCTCATTTGGAGTCTTAGTGTCTTGCCCTGTCTCTGAAGTTTATCTGAAATTGTCTTCTAGGAGTTTTAGGATAATCCAGATTGGCTGAAAGCAGACCTCTGAATGGATTAGGGCATGTAGGGTGAGGGAGAATCCACAGCTGAGGAAAAAGCCAGGGAGTCGAACCAGAGGAACCTTTGCTTCAGAGGAAGGCAGCTGGGAAGCCGGTGCCTGGAGTCCTGGGTTCCCAGCCCTCTGCTAACCGGATCCTGACTTTGGAGAAGGCACTCAGAGGCACTCTGGATTGTTATAAAGTTTAAATGAAGTGTTGCCTGTGAAAGGGATGGTAGAATCAGGGCCCTCTGGGAAGCATAGATACATAATTAGATCCTACTCCACGTGCAATGCAGGAAAAAAAAAATTACTGAGGCTGAATAGGTGTTGTTGCTTGAATACTTTTGATTCCAGTGTCTTCAAGTAGATGAGGTGAAGTTGCAGATGATTAAAAGAAGACGCATTTCGGATCTCTTGACTCTGAGCTTTCTTATCTCTCCCTGAGACCCACTGGGCCTTGGAGAGACCAAGGCTCTGAACAGGACATGATCTCCTTTCCCTGCTGGGGGTGGGGATAGATCAGGAGGGGTGGAAAGAGAAGGAAAGTGCTGGATGGAATGGATTCTAGTTGTTGGCTTTGGGACAACACTGGGGTAGGGGATGCTTTGAGACTAAAGTAGAAAGATGAGGTCAGATAGAGAGGGAAGAGGCAAAAGAGGTAGGAGAGAAATGGAAGTAAGTGTAAAAAGGAATAATAAGGAAGGCACAACAGGGACACAGAAGAGAAGAAAGAGGAGCATAGTGGGAAGCAAATGTGTCCTGGACCACAGGGACCTGGAGTCTTAGCCGCTCACTCCAGAGCAGCATCTAAGTCCTGCCTATTCGAAAGGGATGTAGGTTTGGGATCTTGTTGGGCACGATTCTGTTTGGTTGAATTAAACTTACATTTGCTGAGTGCGTCCCTATGGAAGAGTCTTGCATTGGGTGAAGTGTGCACTTTGTATGGATTTTGCCTTCAAGATAGATTTTTTTGCAAGGTGTGCTATTTCAAGTTCAAGGTTCACTTTAAAAAGTAATGGGATTGATGGAAATCACTTTTTTTTCCATAATAAGCAAATACTGTAAGGAAACCACTATCACTGTTCCAAATTTTGAAGCTCCCAGTGGAAAACGGGTAAGGTGAAACGTTTGGTATCTATCAGAATAGGATTCAGTCTGAAGCTGAACTGTTTCTTCTTTTGGTCTTCTCTTTTTCTTTCTTTTTAATAAACCCAACTAAAGGAAATGTTTACACAACCTCTCACCCTACATGAAGAATTGTTTTGGCTGGATTCCTTCTGAGGAGGGCGGGATGGGATGGATCAGGAAATACTGTTGCTGATTTCCTGCCTCTGAGCCTCCTGGCTGCATCCTGTCAAAACTGCTCTTCCAGCTTTGAAGGGAAAGTGTTTTATGGCAATTTCAGCCCAAGGGCAGTGACAGTCAAATGCCCCCGAGAGGGAGCCAGCCAGCCTGGGCTGCTGCTCCACTGTGTGTATGTGTGCCCCTAGGAATGTGCGGATTTAGCAAATGGCAACACTGAGCGTGCCCTGTCCCCAGTGGAGCCTCAGGCCCTCGCTCTCTCTTTGTGTTGGCTCTTTTCCAGGCTTGAGTGATTGCGTTGGTTGAGCCTTCATTATCCACAAGGAGAGGCGAGAAAGCAGACTGGAGGGAGAAAAATATGCCTTTCTCACGGGCTTTCTTCCAGTACATTTTTGAGTTTTCACGTCAGTAGACCTCATGGAGTTTTACTTTCTGTCAGTTTGGAAGTTTGGTCAAGAAGTTTGGTATGCCGGTGGTAACACAAAAGCAATTTCTGCTTTTGAGAAAAAAAAATTTCACTTGGATGTCAACCACCACAGAATTATTGTATTGTTGGGAAGGACCTCAGAGATTATTCTGTTCTAATTGCTGAAATCCTGGAGGGGCTTAGCACGCAGCCTGTGAGGGGCAGCAACCAGCATTTGGATCACCCTGCCCCCAGCTCGTGGCCTCTGATGTCATTAGAAAAACCTCAATAATTTATGTTGTATTAGATCGGGATGAAGCAGTCAAGTTCTGTGTTCAAATTCTGGTTCTTTCCAAGCCTAGATACATATCCAGGAGAAATGATCACACTAAAACTTGTACACAAATGTTCATAGCAGTATTATTCATTAATAGCCAAAAAATAGAAGCAAACCAAGTATCCCTCAACTGATGACTGGATAAACAGAATGTGGGATATCCTCATGATGAAATACTATTCAGCCACAAAAAAAGAATGAAGTTCTGATGCATGCTGCAGTGTGGATGAACTTTGAAAATATTGTGCTAAGTGAAAGAAGCCAGACACAAAAGGCCACATGTTGTAGATTCTATTTAAATGAAACGTCCAGACTGGGCAAATTCAAAGGAAAAGAAAGTAGATTGCCAGGGCCTGGGGTGGGGGTTGGGTGGAGAATGGGGAATGACTGCTGATAGGTAGAGAGTTTATTTTTAGTTTGAGAAAAATATTCTGGAATTAGATAGTAGTGTTGGTTGCACAACTCTGTGAAAATCACTGAACTAAACATCAGTAAATTGTCATGTTGTATATGTGAATTATATGCCAATAAGGCCGTTATTTACAAAACCCTAGCTCTGCCTGTTACCAGCTGGGTGACTTTAGGCAATGACTCTAAACCCGAGTAATCTCAGCTATGAAGTGGGAATAACGATATATATCTCCCAGAGTCATTTTGGTAAATGAGATCATGAATTTGAAAATGCTTCTGAACTATAAACATCACATATTTTGGGGCTGTCACTGGGTTATAAGCTCATTATAAACTGGCTTTTTACCTCCTCCTCCTGTGTCTTCTATGGCACTAATAAGGTCTAAATCATTCATGACTTTTTGAATTGATTCAAAAGTGTTGTAATTTTTTAAAAATTGTGGTAAAAGAAACAACAAATCTTTAACACATTTAAAATCCTCTAAACGAAATTTTAAGTGCACAGGACAGTACTGTTAACTACACGCATGTTGTTGTACAACAAATCTCTACAACTTTTTAGTCTTGCATGACTAAAACTCTGTACCCATTGAACTGCAACACCCCTTTTCCCTCTCCCTGGAGCCCCTGGTAACCACCATTCTGCCTTCTGCTTTTGTGAATTTGGCTAATTTGGATACCTCATGTAGGAGCGATCATATAGTTCTTTATCTCTTTGTGACTGGCCTATGTCACTTAACATAGTGTCCTTAAGTCTCATCCATGACCCACGTGGCATGAATCAGATTTTCCCTTCTTTTTAAGGCTGAATAATATTCCATTGTATGTATATATCACATTTTCTTTATTCATTCATTGGACAAATGACATTTAGGTTGTTTTCACCTTGTGGCTATTGTGAATGTTGCTGCAGTGAACATGAGAGTGCAAAATATCTCTTTGAGATCCTGTTTTCAATTCTTTTGAATAAATACCCAGAAGATTGATGGATGATGTGGTAATTCTATTCAAAAAATTTTGAGGAATCTCTATACTGTTTTGCATTTTACATTCCTACCAGCAGTGCACAAGGATTCCAATTTCTCTACATCCTTGCCAACCCTTGTTATTTTTTTGGTGTTTTGTTTGTGGGCTTTCTGTTTATTCTTTGTTGTTGTTTTGGTGATTGCTTTCCTAACAAGAGGATGGTGACAGTCTCATTGTGGTTTGATTTGTCTCTTCCTGGTGATTAGTGAAATTGGGTACCTTTTATATGCCTGTTGTTCATTTACATGAATTCTTTGAAAAAAATCAATGAAATTGAGTTGGGTTTTTGAAAAGATCAACAAAATTGACAAACTTTTAGGTAGATTGAGAAAAAAAGAAAATAGGAAGAAATGTAGGTGTTTACTACTATAAACTCCCCTCTTTGTACTACTTTTGCTGCATCCCATGAGTTTTGAAATGTTGTGTTTTCATTTTTGTTTGTCTCGAGATATTTTCTAGTTTCCTTTTTGAATTCTTCTTTGACCCATTGGTTGTTCAAGAGTGTATTGCTTAATTTCTGTATGTTTGTGAATTTTCCAGTTTTTCTTCTGCTGTTGATTTCCAGTTTCATTCTAGTGTGTTTGGAAAATATGCTTGATTTGATTTCAACCTTCTTTAATTTGTTGAGACCTTTTTGTGACCTAACATGTGATTTGTCTTGGGGAATGTTCTGTGTGTGCATGAGAAGAATGTGTATTCTAATGCTGTTGTGTGAAACATTTTGTATGTCTGGTGGGTCCGTTTGGTCTATAGTGTTGTTCAAGTCCTCTGTGTCCTTATTGATCTGCTATCTGGATGTTCTAGCCATTGTAGAAATTGGGGTATTGAAATCTCCTATTGCTGTGTTGCTGTCTTTTTCTCCCTTCAGTTTTTTAATGTTTGCTTCATATATTTGGATGCTTTGATGTTGAACTTATATATACTTGTAATTATAATATGTTCCTGGTAAGTTAATCCTCTTACAACAGCTTTTGACTTAAAGTCTGTTTTGTTCTATATTAATATGGTCACCCTGCTCTCTTTTGGTTTCCATTTACACAGAATATCTTTTCCATCTTTTCACTTTTAGCCTATGTGTATCCTTAGATCTAAAATGGGCCTCTTATAAACAGTATATGGCTAGATCTTGTTTTGTTTTTTTTAATCCATTTAGCCATCAAAGGTGTTACAGTTTTTAAGCATTTCTTTGAACCAAATTAATCTATAAATCTGGATGTTTTTAAATCCGAGTATTTCTCAGAACAATTAAAAGACCTCCAGTAACTTGAATTTTCCCCCCTCATTTTATATTCTTATTTTCTCTCTCTCCTTTAATAGAGACAACGTATCTGATTCATTGACAAGACCACAATCTGATCCCAAAGATGTGCTCCACAAACCCCGGCAACTGGGTCACATTTGATGATGACCCCACTTTTCAGTCTTCTCAAAAGTCAAAGAATTTCCCTCTGGAGAATCAAGGCATCTGTAGGCCGAATGGACTTAAGCTGAACCTTTCTGGTCCTAAGGAATTTCCTAGTGGATCTTCCTCCACCAACAGTACCCCTCTTTCCTCTCCCATCACAGACTTCTACTTCAGTCCAGGACCTCCAAGTAACTCTCCTCTTTCTACACCTACCAAAGACTTCCCAGGTATTCCTGGCATTCCCAAAGCAGGGACTCACGTGCTTTATCCAATTCCGGAGTCATCTTCAAACAGTCCGCTTATACCAGGAGCAGGTTCTTCCTTATTGCCCACAAAACCAGCCTGTTTATCCCATGCTTCCTTGCCCAGTGACCACTCATGTATACATCCAGCTCCCAAAGTAGGTCTTCCAGATGAAATGAGCCCTCACCAGGCTGAAAGCCTAGGGTTCCAAAGTGATACTCCCAAGTTTCAGTATTTTCGGGAGGACTGTGCCTTTTCAAGTCCATTTTGGAAAGATGAAGGCAGTGCTTCCCAGCTCACCTTTGACCCTCCAGGAAGCAGAAAGATGTTCCCATCAAGAGACAAAGAGATGCCTATTGATCAAAAAAGCTTAAATCAGTGTTCACTCAGCTACATCTGTGAGAAACTTGAACATCTCCAGTCAACTGAGAACCAAGACTTACTTGGAAATTTGTCTCTGCAGTGTCTGTACCCTGAAGACACCGCCTCTTCCTTTGTCCCCCATATGCTCTTCAGGAGTCAGCCAAAGCCTGGATGGTCTTTCATGTTGAGAATCCCTGAGAAGAAGAACATGATGTCTTCCCGTCAGTGGGGGCCAATTTTTCTAAAAGTGTTACCTGGAGGAATTTTGCAAATGTATTATGAGAAAGGATTAGAAAAACCATTTAAGGAGTTACAGCTTGATCCATACTGCAGGCTTTCTGAACCCAAAGTTGAGAACTTCAGTGTGACAGGAAAGATCCATACTGTGAAGATTGAACATGTGTCTTACACAGAAAGAAGGAAATACCATTCTAAGACAGAAGTAGTTCACGAACCAGACGTAGAACAGATGCTGAAGTTGGGGTCCACCGAGTACCATGACTTCCTCGATTTTCTGACTACTGTGGAGGAGGAACTGATGAAACTGCCAGCTGTTTCAAAACCAAAGAAGAACTATGAGGAGCAAGAAATTTGCCTGGAAATTGTGGACAACTTTTGGGGTAAAATCACTAAAGAAGGAGGAAAATTGGTGGAAAGTGCGGTGATCACTCAGATCTGTTGCCTCTGCTTTGTGAATGGGAATGCAGAATGCTTTTTAACCTTGAATGACCTGGAGCTGCAGAAGCGAAATGAACGCTATTTTGAAAAAGACCCAGAAAAGAAGGGGATTGATATTCTTGACTATCATTTTCATAAGTGTGTGAAAGCACAAGAATTTGAGCAATCAAGAATCATTAAGTTTGTACCTCTGGATGCCTGCCGGTTTGAGCTGATGCGTTTCAAGACTTTGTACAACGGGGAAGATCTTCCCTTTTCCCTAAAGTCTGGTGTGGTTGTCCAGGGGGCGTATGTGGAGCTTCAGGCGTTTGTCAACATGACCCCATCCCGTGCCAGCTCCTTGAGGTCCTGTGACAACATAATGATACACTTTCCTGTTCCGTCACAGTGGATCAAGGCTCTCTGGACCATGAACCTCCAGAGGCAGAAGTCCCTGAAAGCCAAAATGAACCGCCGGGCATGTCTGGGGAATTTACATGAACCGGAATCTGAACCCATCATACAGGTCACTGTGGGATCAGCAAAATATGAGAGTGCCTACCGGGCCGTGGTATGGAAGATAGACCGGCTTCCTGATAAAAATTCAAGTAAATATTCCATGCTCCAAGCTGATTTTCCTGTGAAATTGCTTGAATGTTTTCACCCTCCTCCTTGGGTTGAAACCAGGCTGAGACAGATGGTAACTTCAGTCAGCTGAGGCCATGCTTGCATGGCTGGGTGGGAGATGGCACATTTAGTCAAACAGCTGGTTCATTTTGTCCCCTTATGCCTAGCTGTACCAGATAGATTTAACCTAATTTTTTTTTAAATATCTTAAGAAATACTATCTGAGGCTAGGATTTTGTTATGGATAGTGGCACCATCTAGTTGGACTTTTTTTTTTTAATTGAAGTATGGTCTATTTACAATGCTATGTTAATTTCTAATGTATGACACAGTGATTCATTTATATCTATATATATAGATATAGATCTATATATCTATATATATATCTGTGTATCTTATATCTATCTACCTATATATGTGTATAGATATATTCCTCTTCATATTCTTTTTCATTATAGGCTATTATAAGGTATTGAATATAGTTTCCTGTGCTATACAATAGAACCTTGTTGTTTATCTATTTTATATATAGTAGTTAGTACCTGCAAATCCCAAACTCCCAATTTATCCCTCCCCACCGTCCCTTGCCACCCTGGTAACCATAAGTTTGTTTTCTATGCCTGTGAGTCTGTCTCTGTTTTGTAAATACATATGTTTGTTTGTTTCCTTTTTTTTCTTTTTTAATATTTCACATACAAGTGATATCATATGATATTTTTCTTTCCCTTTCTGGCTTGCTTCACTTAGTATGATGATCTCCAGGTCCATCCATGTTGCTGCAAATGGCATTATTTTATTCGTTTTTATAGAGTAAAATTTCATTGCATATATATACACAGCTTCTTTATCCAGTCATATGTTGATGGACATTAGGTTGTTTCCATGTCTTGGCTATTGCAAATAGTGCTGTTATGAACACTGGGGTACATATATCTTTTTGAATTAGAGTTTCCTCTGGATATATGCCTAGGAGTGGGATTGCTGGATCATAGGCTAAATCTTTTTTCAATTTTTTAAGGAATCTCTAGACTGTTCTCCATAGTGGCTGCACCAAACTACATTCCCACCAATAGTGTAGGAAGATTTCCTTTTCTTTGTTGGACTTCTTGACATCAACCATCAACCTCAAATATTAAAATTATTGTTTTACAGAGCTTAGCTTCCCTAATTAACCTTTTAAGATCTGCCATCCATGAATATAACTCAACTTTTTTGTAATTCTCAGCTGGGATCACTTCCTCCTTAGTTTTGTTCCCTGCTCTTCGAAATAAGACTGCCTTAGAAGTTAACTTGGGTAAAAATGAAAGGCAGTCTTATCTCTGTGCTGGGTGCTTGGGAGATACAGATACAAACATGATCCCTCCTCTCCAGAAACAGAAGTCTAGCGGATGAAGCAGAGCTGGAAGCTGCTATCCAGATGCGCTGTGGAAATGTGCTCTATTCTAGTCCAGGCAGGTACAGACACCTCTAGTAGGGATCCCAGAGAAGGGAGTGGGAAACTGCAGGGGCTGCTAGGGAAGGCTCTGCTGAGACATGATGGTTGAGCTCAGCATGGGAACACCAGTGGGAATCCATCAAGGATGGAAACAGCAGAAACACAGGCACGCCGATGAGGAGTCTTCCGAGTCTGGGAACTGAGAGGGTAGTTGGAGAAGAAAGCAGGGTGGGAAGAGTGCTGTGCACCATGCTGTGTGGGGGGGTGTCAGCAGGGCCTCAGGAGTGTTTTCAGGAACGACTGTGACAGAATCATACCTTGTTTTAGAAAGTCAGGTGTACGTTTCAAAGGAGAGATTCGGGTAGATGGCAGATAGACGGAGAGGGGCTGGTGGGTGAGGGGAGAGGCTGAGCAAGGCGGGAGGCAGTGGGAGCACTGAGACAGAGTGAGGGGTGGGGGAGCGAATTCAGAAGAGGTGACCCTGGAACCATGACAGGTGGTCCGCGGGCCTAGGGGAAAGAGAGCAGGTGGGAGGAGTTAGGATCTCTGGCTTTGATGAATAGGTGGGCGATGGTGCTTTTAGATGAGATAGCCTGGGATTCTTTCATCACTCCCTTTAAATCTGTTTCTCAGCCCTGGCTGCGTGTTAGTCTTTAGAAGCATGAGAGCTTTCATATTTAAAATACCCATATTTAGGCCCCATCCTTGCCGGGTCAGACTCTGGGGTGAGGCCCAGATGTTGGTGCTTCTGAAAGGCTCTCCCATGTGGCCAGGGTTGAGAACCACCGCCCGGTACCTCTCCTGGGAAACCTGTCGTGGCCTCCTAGGCATCACTGCTCCCTGCTCTGTGTTTTCCTGTGTCTTCTAGAGCAGCACTGAGCTCCCTGAGAGCAGTTACAAGAACGGGCATTCCCAGAGAGGCCGGCTGAACTTGGTCTTGGCCTTTGGGAATTCTTTCGGAAGACTATCAGAGCACCAGGCTCACACAGAACGATGTTTTACAAGCATTCCAGCCAATTACACGGTGAGAGTTCACTGAACAAATCCTCTGGGATCAAAGCTGCTTTGTTCAGATCAGGTCTGTGCACCAAGAGGAAGCCCAGGGGAAAGAAAGGCAATGAGGCTGTGTCTGGTGGAGTCTGGGGGGCAGGAGGCCGCTGTAAGCTGGGCTGGTGCTGGATGCTTCTGGGATCACGTTGCCCTGTCACTGACGCGTCTCTGTGGTAGGAGTGTGGAAGGGTAGTGCCAAGAGAGGCTGCCTGGCAGTTTGCTTCTTGAGGAGAAGCATAGAAAGAGGAAGACAGGGCAGAGAGGAAATCTTTGTCCCAAGGCAGTGCTTCTCAGACTTTCGTGTACGTATGAATCACCTTGTTAAAGTGTAGACTCTGATTCAGCAGGTGGGGCTCCCCCATACTGTGTTTCCCACGTGCACTCCAGTGATGCCAATGCGACGGGTCCCCGGACCTCACTAGAGGAGCAGGGACTTAGAATGCATCTCTGTGTTTCTATATGATTTTAAAATCACCTGGGTGTTTAGAGAGCAGAGGATTTTAAAAGAATGTCTTTAAAATGTTACCCTTTGAAGTTACTTTCTGAAAGACCTGCACTGTAAGAAAAAAAAATTTAAAAAGGGAAACTAAAAAATGTATATTTTAAATTAGTGCATATATGAAGTATATGCACTAATTTAAAAAAATTTTAAATGCCTCTCCTGGGGATTTATGAGATCAGGATTGACCTTTCCTATTGATACAGTCACATATATGTGATTGTCGGGGAGGTGGGGAGGGATGCTGGCTCCTTAAATATTCTTCTACCAGCACGTCAATGTTTACTATTCCTTTATCAGTGGGCAAGTCTTTCATTTTATAACAGTTTGGCCTCTGGCAGGTAGCTCAAATAATTCATTCAGACTAAGGTGTGAAGGACAACAGAGGACCTTTCTTGAGCACAGGGTTTGCTGGGGATGGGAAAGGGGGGGGGAGAAGAGAATGAGGACAAATGAGAACACTGGTTACCAGCCGTAGAGGCTGCATGCAGTAGCATAGAATTAGAAAGGGAAGTGAGAATGGTGGAGGGTCAGTTAACAAATGTATCTATCTCCACTTTCACAATTTTACCAATTTTTAAATATCACTTGCCTTTACCTTTTCTCTTTGCTGGCTCCACTTGTGTCATTCTCCTGCCATTCACTCCCTCCAGCTCTCAACAGTTCAGTTTCAGTTGTGAAATATTTGGGTTCAGGAAGGACCAGATATCTACTAGCCATAAATAGAACAGATTTTGTGATTTGCTTTCCTGATCCTAAGGAAGTGATGATAGAATAATTACCAAAGTCCGAGAGTGCCCCCTGGTGATCAGTACTGAAATAAATAAACATGATTTTCCTCTTATCTTTTATTCATTTACTCAGAAATTCCACAAATGTCTTTTGAGCCCCAAATGTGCCAGACAGACCTGTACTAAGGACAGACATGATACTTCTCTTCATGATATCAAAGTACAAAGGGAGTGTGAGTTATTAAACGTTGTACAGTAGAGTTTTAAAAGCCAGGAAAAATATGCCAGAAAACTTGAAAGGAAAAATGTTCTTTATCTTTTACTGGGTTTTTAGAAAAGTGGGTACAAAGGTTTTGTTTTTGACATTTTGTCTTCACCTTGGGTAATTTTCACTACAAAAGTTCCAAAAGAGGTTTTCTTTAAAATGTGAATATCAAATTAGATCCTCTCCAATGTTATTTTGAGCTCCGAGAGTATAGACGTCACAGTCCCTTCATTAGCCAAAACTAAGACAACTAAATAATAATAACATTGGACTCATCACGGAAGAGCACCTTGCTCTTCTGTCTGTACCACAACAGAATGCTACGTCTCTCGTGCTCCGCATGGGCCAGCTGGCTTGTTTAATCCTCACAACAGTCTTATAAAGTTCATGCTATTATTATCATCATCATCATCATCACCTCCATTTTTAGATGGGGAAACTGAGGCTCAGAGACATCAAATAACTTGCTTAGGATCACACACATTTTAAGTAGCAGAGCTGGCACCTGACCCTGGGCAATCTGAGTCCAGTGTTCATGTGCTTTAACCGCTGTGCCATAAAGGACTGAGGAGTGCCTAAATTAAGTTTAAATAAACTTGTTGTATCTTGCAGACAGAGGCTAGTAAGGGTAACGGATTGTGTTATCTCCGCTGGGTCTGTGTCTGTGTGAATAAAGTTATCACTTGGCTGCGGTGATCTGGGTAGCTGAGAGCACCCCCAAGGCCATTGCTGTCTGGCCCTACAAGTCGGTGGTGGAGATGGCTAATGAGCATCTGTTGGTTAATTGACTGATCGCTTCTCAAGGCCTTTTACAGCCTTAGAATTCTATTAGTCTCTCTGCAAGAAACAGGTTGTAAGGAATGAGAGGCAATTTATCTTTTAAGAATTAAGTGAAATCCTTTAAACTCTTGTTTTTGTGCCTAAAGCTATATTCTGATGGAAATGTTCTTTCTTGAGTTATGTCAGTGGTACAGTAATTTAATCTGGCTTTTGAAATTATTATCATCTCATACATTTATTTAAGAAAAGATAGCTGAATGGAATATATAGATGCTGTGGACAATGCATCAGAATCATGGAACATTTATAGAGTTCCTGCAGAGGTTACACTGAAAATATTTTTGCTCCATTGTAACACACACATAAACACACACACACACGTTACATGACCCCTCTTAAAATTTTTGTGTATATATGATATCCCTAGGTCTGGCACAGAGCCTGACCTGGCATAGAGTAGATGCTCAATACATGGCAAGTTTAATTAAGGGAAAATAAATATTAGATTGAAACATTGAAAGCCTTTTTGCCCATCTCCACACTGTACATCTGTTCCAGTTAGAGCTTTAAGGAGGGTGAGTGGGAATGAATGCACTGAAAGATAATCTGTTCTACTAAAAAAATATTTTTGGCCTAGAATATTTTCTGAAATGTAAAAAAAAAATTATGAAGTTTAACTTTTAAAAACTCAGAATTTTTGATAATGTGACCTAATTTAGTCTGAAATTTACCTTTGCATTATCTATCAATAAATAGAGTGGTAAGAAAATGAATAAATTAAGAATTATTGTAAGATCTTATCTACCTAAGAGAAAGTTTTTCTTACAGATTCCATGCACGTTGTAGCCAAATAATGATGCTTAATGTAAATATTACTCATCTTTTAATTAAAAAAAAGCTTAGTATACAATTCTGAATTTTTCTTGTCACTGCATTGTTGGTCATTGTTTTATTGGATAATTAAGTGCAATATTAAACTTTCTTTTTTTTTTAAAGCTAGTACTTTAAAAATGCAGGCAGGTTTCCCCCTAGTTCGTGCAAAATTGTGAATTTTGAGGTATGCCATTTAAGTGGAATTCACACTGCCGTAATTATAATGGAATTGCTTATGAACGAGAGGGATGCAGGCCTCCTTAGTTCAAGAGGATTGTTCAATGGCCATTGAAATACTTTGATTGACATTCAGTTTTGTTTCTCTAAGGTCCTGATCATCCCCACTGTTTGTCATACAAACTAGAACTTGGATCAGACCAAGAAATTCCCTCTGATTGGTACCCATTTGCTACTGTTCAGTTTGGGGTCCTCGACACCTGTGCCTCCCAGACAGAGGTCCGGTCTCTGGGGGTGGAAAGTGATGTCCAGCCACAGAAACACATTCATCAGCGAGCTTGCTACAACGTCCAGGTACATCCCAAAGTCCTTGGGTTCAAGTTGGGGGTTTCCAAAACTATGACCTGATTTGTCTTTAAGTACTTGCTTTGCCCTGTTAAGTGACCATGTATGTATATGTGTGTATGTGTGTATCTGACCTAGGAAAGAGCCCAGCTGTGGAAACTGGATGATTGCCAATGAGTCTAGTTCTTCCTCTCAGTTCTTGAGAAGATCAGGAGACTGAGTGCACAGTGCCATGTTCTTAACTCAGCTCTCAATGAAAAACAGGGTGTTAAAAATAAACTCACATTTCAGAAGCATGTTTATAATAACAATTTTGTTAGAATAGCATTTCCCAACATGTGTTCTGTGGAACATGTGTCCCATATAATGATCCAAGAAAAAAAATAAGTTGGGGAATTTCATATACTTAATTAATGGTAATGAAGGCTCTGAGAAGTCCTGCAATAAAGAAACTTGTTAAACTTGGCTTAGTTTCTCCCAACTCATTGATTATGGAATCTTGTTTCCATGGGCACGTGCATGTAAAACACCTATCAATATCTTCTGCAGTAGTATTCTGGGGAGCACCCTTTGGGAAATGCTGAATTACTCTATGTTCACCATCAGCTCGTCCACATTCTTGCACCAGATGAATTAAAGAGCGGCATACACTTGCACTTGCTTTTCCTTCTCATCTGCAAAGTTAGTAGATACAGAGATGACCTCTGCCACATATTTCCCATAGTATCTTCAAATGGTGTGATTACATAAGACATCATTAACATGAACTGGTGGTTCCATAATATAGGAATATAAGTCTGGATTTTTCTCTGTTTTGGACTGTTTAGAAGCCTGTATGTTTGGATCCACTGATTTTTTTTCTACTGGGAAAATTAATGACAAGTGGGTGGTGTTCTGTGCAGCCCCTTTGGAACTGAGTGACTTATTCCTTCAACATCTGGGAATTGCCCTGGATGAGGAAAGCTATCATGTTCCTATCACGCCCCTTCCTGGGGCAGCCTGTGTCCAGTGACTGGTGGATCAGGAGTTTAAGATACTTTGCCTCTTGGGATGGGGGTGTATTTAAAAGTGCTGCGTGGTAGGAGATGGGCACCCTACGGGTCTCCATGCGCATGCTGGCCCTCACCAGAAAAAGGGGTTCCCTTTTCTCAAAGCTTCAACCATCTGTGTATCAGGGGATCATAGGAGCATTGTATTATTGATCACAGTCATTATTATTGCTACTGCATTACAATTTTTATTAAATCTTCCTCTCCTGATGAGAAAGGGGCAAATTAAGTATTTATCTTCTCAAATACCATATTCCTGGGAGGGATCAACCCTGATGCTCTGTGAGACAGTAAGAAACCAATAAAGACAACTTTGTAAGCCAACAAAACAAAACAAAACAAAAATTTAAAAACCTTGGAATAACCCTGCAGGGCCACCCTGGCTTCAGCCCTCCCTGGGGATTAGTTGCAGCCCTTATTGTGGCTGTCCTGCAGCCCAACTTCTCTCTCTTCCTGTTCTGCTCCCTTCCTCCCCTCCCCATCAGGTGTTGGCCCCAACCGCACTCCCCAGTAACCTTCCTGCATACCAGTCTCCATCTCAGCGTCTGCTTCTGGGGAACCTGACCTGTAACACTAGGTATATGAGTATTATGTGTGACTGAAATGTATGTCACGTGCACATGGAGACTTCCCTTATACCAATTTTCTTGTTCATGGGATGTGCCAGTTTCATACAGTTTAGAGGACAGCTCAAAATTATATAACAAAGTCCTCACTTATAAACCAGGACTGAACAGGTGTTAGTACTGCATTGCACTTACTGACGCTGCCCATGTTTTGCTTTGTATAACAGGTTGAAATAGAAAAGAAGTGGATAAAAATCGATGGAGAAGACCCAGATAAAGCTGGTGACTGCGTAACTCAGTAGGAGTAGCAAGAGTCTGTGATGACGATCCACTTTGCAAATATGTAATTCACAGAAACCATATAGTTCTGCTACTGTATGGGAAATAACCGGCCCAATGGCCATGTTGAGAAAAGTTTAGACCTGACACCAGACCATCTGTACTTTATGCTTTTGATACGTGTTTTTGCTCCAGGGGTTTCGTTGAAAATGTGTCTATAATTTTCATGATGTTTTTGTTTCCTAGTGAAATTCAAAGGCACTGTTATTCAGGGTGTGACCTGACAGCCACTTGGCTAAAGCATTTTTGATATTTGATTGCCCAGTGGCTCATTGTTTTGTACTCTGGGTTACCTGGGTGCCATGTTTATTATCCTCCCGTCCCTATCTCTCCTTGTTAAGTCAGCACATGAACTGGAGGAGGAGGCAATCAAAGGAGACAGGAACCAAAATACTTCATTCTCCCTCTTGCTCTGCTCTGAAATGTGGCCAGTTGTAGAATGATGTTGAAACCCACAGGCTTACATGGAGATGTGGAACTATCTCTGATTCTGAATGATTTATCTTCCTATTACCTATTACCACACTGGTGAGTATTTGGTACCTGTCTTTCCCCCAGTCTGTTATTATTTTCAAAGTGTATTTGTATTCTGGTGTGTGCTACAAAGAAGCTGTTTCTGTTCATATACACATTTTAGTACAAGCCACTAAGACATACTGCCTTTTGCTTGGAGAGAGTCCTTTCGAAATGGAATCCCAGTATTGGACACTAGTTAAAATATTTATGTATGTTAAGAATGAATTTTTAAAGTTCATGAATATTGTTTCCCCAAAGTACAGACTCTAAGAATGTATTTTGATAAAGTATTATTTGTAATTAACACAAGCCACTCTTGAGTGGAAGTCTAAATCATATTATGATTATTTTATGCTAGTTCTGCTATCATGCTATTTATACTAATTCAGCTTAGAGTAATTTTCTTTGAAAGATGAGCAAAGTGAAAGACACTAGATTATTTTACCTAGATTTCTAAGAAATGACATTTCTTTTCTTCAAAGTCAGGTAAATGTTTTTTAATGAAAACCTGTGGCGTTAGCAGTTGTAATTCTGTTTATAATTTCCTTTCAGTATTTACAGTGAAAGATCAGACTTTTAAATTTATGAAATCTATATTCTAGGTAGTTTTTTAGTTGGAAAGACATGTGGAAAAAACATGTATTAATACACCTTCAATTTATGTTGATCCTTAGATATGATTAGGAGATATTTTTCTCTATTTACTAGATTTGTTTTGAGTCAAAACTGATAGAATAGTGTTCTTCCAAACAACATTATTTGTTGGCCCCACAGAGGCTGCCTCATCCATTTTACTTAATATTACATTACTTTCACTTTAATCTGTTCAAAATGCAGGTTAAAACAAACTTTCATAATGATCTGTATCAATCAGATTTTATTGCTTTTCATTATTTTACTGTGGAGGCAAAGAATGCAAAAGTTGACTGTTGAATTGGTATTGCTCTTTTTAACTTCACATAATGTATTGCTCATAATATCATATCCTTAAGACTCACTGTTGACGTATAGAAGGGCAAATCTGTGTATCATTTTTAAAAAAAAGTTCTGCCATCCTGTCTCCTCATCTGGTGTGCCACATTCTGGAGTGACGTTAGTCTGCTCTGAACAAATCCGGAGGCAGCTGAACCTGATACCGCTCCTTCCTCCTGGGACGTTTGTTGGGTTAATTACCACCATTCCTTTCAAAACTGTGTTACAGCATCCTGCCCATAAAGAACTCAGTCTGATTCGGATGAACTTAATATTTACAGTGCAAAGTAATTCCAGCATAGGGTTCAACGAATCGCCCCTCAGGCTTCAGGGGGTTGCCAGAATGTGCGGGTCCCTCACTGCTGGGGTCATTAATTCATCAGCCCTCCAGCCTACAAGGGCATCTCAAGATTCAGTGCTGGAAATTTAACGAAAGGCTGACTGAAGCCCAAGTTGAGTTCCTGCGCAGTGCAAAGGTTGATAGCAAGAACAGCGGGGTGCTGCAGAGTAATTGTTAATTTGCACATCTATTAGGATCCTTAAATATTCATTACTGAGCATTAAATTAACATTCTGTGTAGGTGGAGAGGCTTTTTAATACAATTCTTCTGACCTCAGAAATGGCAGAAGGTCAAATGTGACCACAGTGCTCTAAGTGAAAAATTAGGTAGGATCCACTTAGACTTACAAATTAAGAAGTAGAATCTCCTTTGCCAGGAAGTAAATGATGATCTTCAAAACAATAACAGCAAAACCTTCTGCTTTTAAGGCGGAGAAGAGAGGAAGGAGGTAAGTGAGGTAGGAAGTACTCCTTTCTAGCATTTTAGTTTAGGTAATGTAGATCAGCGTTTTGTGAATTTGACCTTTGGGGGTCAGTTGTTTGATGGACACCATGGCCGACTTCCAAGGAGTTGATCAGTTTGGGATGAGCTGTTCTACTCTAATTGGTCTGGTCTGGTTGCCTTACCAGTCAAAGGACCATATTAATTGTGTAAATGAATTCATGGCTTGATGGTTACCTGATCAATTGTACAGATCTGAATTTAAGGACATTTCCTTTTTTTATGGGAATGGAAATAGTTTATTCATTAAAAAAGTATGAAAAAAAAAAACCTTTCCCAGCACGTAAATAAAGGCTGGCATTTTTGACCTGATTTACATATTAGACAGTTCTAGGGTTTTAGTTCCCTCAGTTCTGGATCAATGTTATGATATAGCCCTTTTTCTTATAAATTCAATCAGAAGGCCTTCCTTAATAATGACTAAGTATTATTATATCTTACTCAAAATATGATTTTATGCCATATCAATACAAATATAAAACAGATTGAACCTTAATAATCATGTAACAAAGTATTTTGTAGATTGCATATCGATTTTTTAAAATTAAAGATGTATTTCAAATGATTCTTGCTGTGCAGTGGACTTATATCTTCTTTGGCAAGGTCTGGGGCTATTTTTTTTTTTTTAAGATATGAAATCAATTTCAATAACCTTAAACAATTGACTCTCTGTCAGGCAAATGTATACTGCTTCGCTATTAAGGAGTCAGTGAACACCATGTTCACTGGTCTTGGCATATCCTGGAAAAATAATACCATCAAAGTACAATTTGTGACATTAAAGAATGATTTTTAGAAAGAGTAAATCGTCATTACTCTCATAAAGAAACAATAAGAGTATGTGCCCAAGGTTTTACTTAACTCACTAACTAATGAGAGAACTGGTAAGATGTTACAGTGGTTCCAAGGAGAATTCAGAAAGCAGTGAATACATAGGAAATAAGGAACTCTGAAATGAATTTACAAATAAAGGCAAAATGGATCTATCCACGGGGCAATGTCAATATTCAGTTTTCCCTACCCCCACACAATTAATTTGCATTTGTATGGACAAGGATCATTTGTGTTATTATCAGTTTTCTAAAACTTACAAAGTTGTAAAACAGCTCTAAGACAATGGAAAATGTCGATAACCTGGATTAATGAACTAGTTAAGACACCTTACTATTCGGTCTTCCCAATAACAGGAAGAACTTTGTTCACAGGAGAATTTTAAGGAATTTTCGAACTTTGACAACTAGTATTAGAGAAATTATGTGCATTTAAAGCATTTTTTTTAAGTTTAGAAAACAATTTTTATGCAATTGTACAGAATCTGTTTCAGATAAGGGATATATATGTTGGGGGGGAGGGCATTAAAGATATGAAGATAAATTAGCTCTAATAAAAACCAACCTCACTCCTTTATATAAGGAAGCTGCTGTGTGTTGAAATTCAATTTTTATCTAGCTATTAAAGTTAAATTTCAAAATCAGGAAATAAAACTTCATAGAGGCCAGATCGTTAATAGCTGTTTTAGCCACTACTGAGATGAACAGGGCTTGACTTTGCAGGAATAACAAAAAGATTAAGTGACATAAACTGATCATATTTGTAATAGAATTCCTCAAATTCCATCCATCATTTCTTTTCTGTTTTGTCTCAATTCCACCTAGATTCCCTGCCCCCTTTATTTAGACACATGCTGATTCCACTACATTTTGCCGGGTCTCTCCCAGCCCCTCCCTATTATCAGCAGCTCCTCCACTCCCAGGACCTTTGTGCTCTTGCCCATGGTCCTAAAGGACAGGCTGGGTGTATTTGATTGAACTGTATGAAACTAACAATAGTTAACCATTCCTGATAGCAGTTTCATGGGGCTTAACCTAATCACCTGCATATTTCTCCAGTTTATATGAAACAAAAGATTTTTCTTGTTATAATTATGTTAATAAGTTCCTGCTTAGAACTGGCATCTATAATATGAATTTGTCAATTTTAAAGCAAGACAGAATTGCTAATCAGAACACAAATAGTTGAGTTACAAAAAGTACCTTAGATAAAAGCTCCAGGTGATATTATGCCTTAAAATCATGTTCCGTCTGTACGGAAAACGGATTAGACGAGTTTCCCCATGTTTCAAAGTTCATTTCTAGGAGACTTCCTGGGCAAGAAATGCAAATCACTGCTACACTTCGGGGATTGCAACCTTTGCCTCATCTTCACCTCATCTGTCCGCTCCAGAAAAGCTGTACAAACTCAGGTGGGAGGATAGCATATTTAAATAACATGATTGTGTGTGTTGACATTTTCCTGAAAAGCCCATTTTTATTCTGTCAGGAATTGCTCTGGATTCCATGTAATACAATTTGCGGTATACTCTTGAAACAGAAGAGGGCGCTCGCAGGCAAGCTGCTGCTACCCAGAATGAGAAACAGCATTTGAAATTTGGTGGTGCTTGTATTATGATTAATAAAAGATCTTGGGGGCATTTTGTAAAGCATTTCAAAGCATTGTGAATCTAGTGGAGCATAATTAAAATTAATGCAATAGACAAACATTTTAAAGTATTCTTAATGCCTTGTCTAAAAATGCTGTTGAATATAATTTTACACATCCCAAAGATTTAAATACCACACTTAGCTCTAAACATTGCTAAGTACTGAAGAGACAGAACAATAGCGCTTTTCTTCTCAACAGATTTCAAACAAACTTTTTCTAATGAGAACTAATGAACTCTAAATCTGCTTGCTTTAAAAGATGTATAAAATATTATAATGAATCCATCTTGTTTGGCTTCTGAGCTTTCAGATGTATGTATCAAGGTCAATGTGGTCTCTAAAAAGCTCCAGCCTAGGATTGTACTTTCAAGTTCTTAGGTAAGAGCAAGCAAAAATGTGCTTTCAGGAGAATACTCCATGCCACCTTGACTCAGGGACAAGCCTTCACCCTGTTTAGTCCTCTGAAATTAGTAATGAGCACTGTCTTTCCAAGATGGGTTCTATCTTTCAGAAATCTTTCTGGGTGGATGATGTCGTTTTCTTACAAAACCTGTTAGAACAATGTGTTTCCAAAAACCTTAGAGCATGAGTAAATCTACGAATGTAGCTAAACACGTGAGATGTTCCCAAAGGTGTCTTTCACACTCTGAAGTACAGAAGTGTATATAAGATATTGGGACCTTAAGCGGTCACTTTGAATCACCTCAAAATGCTATTTCACCATTGCTTCAACTAATTGTCATGCCAATTCTAATGTTTATTGAGTGTCTACTAGGTGCCTACATTTTTCTAGGCACTGGGGATGAACAAGCACAAAAATAGTAAATTCCTATTCCCATAGAGATATGTGATAGCGGGAGAAGTCAGACAATTAACAAATATCAAGTTGTGATGACTGCTATGCAGGAAAAAAAAAAAGGCAACAGAGTGGTAGAGAATACTCCTTTAGCTATGTTCATCAGGGAGGTCCTGTCTGAGGGGATGACATTCTACCTGAAAGAAGTGAGGAAGCAATTCACCAGGATCTTCCAGCGAGAAGTGTGTCCTGAAGAGGGAACGGCTAGTGCAAAGGCACTGCAGTCAAGGTGTGCTTAGCCTATCAGAGGAACACCAACGAGTCAGGTGGCTACCAGCTGGCCCAAGCAGAGTGAACAAAGGATGATTAGGGGAGGGATCAGAGAGATTGTAGGTAGGTAAGGAAAGCAGAGCAGTAGGGCTCTGTGAGCTGTGGGGAGGACTCTGATTTTATTCTGAGTGAGATGCAAACCACTAGAAGATTTTGTGTGGAGGAGTGACATGAACTGAATTACACGTGAAGATGATTCCGTGGACATAGAAGCGGGCAATGACAGAAGTAGAGACAGAAAGTAGTTGGGAAGCTATTGCAATAACCCAGGTGAGAGATGATGGCGACTAGGAGTTGTGATGGAGATGAAAAATAGTTGGACTTAGAACGTGTTTGAAATGCAGAGCTGATGGAGTAGATTGGATTTTCGGACTTAGAATGTGTCTGAAATGCAGAGCTGATGGATTAGGTTGGATTCCCGGAGTGAGGGAAAGGAGGGTACCAGAAATGACTCCCAGATTTTTGGACTGAGCTGCTACAAGATGGACTGCTGGATTTAGTCACATGGGAAACATCAGTGAACCTGACAGACCACACAAGTGGGTGTGGAGACAGTGAATAGATGGCTTTTGGGGAGAGCTTTGCTGTGAGTAGGAATATTAGGACAGTAGTGGTGAGAATGAAATCTTTTTTCCACCTCTTCCACCGTTAAGACCTAAGTTTTGGTGTTGGTCTTTACTAGTGTCTCTTTTTCGTTATTATTATTCTTTAACCTCACTGATGTTGACTCTTTAAAAATTTCCTTCTCTTTCTCATCGTCGGCACTTAAAGAAAATGATTCCTTGTCGTCTTTCAGCACCATGTTACCTGAATCTCATGTTGTGTCTGTCTTTGGCTGTGCCTGTTTCTTCAGAGTTTTCATGAACTTTATGCATGGGGTTGAAGGTATTGTATGTATACTTCAAAATTGCTTCAATCATATCTTGTAAATATTTTTTTTGGTTGAACTCCGCTGGTCAATGTCATTTCATTTGGTATGAAGATCTATTTTAGATTTTATTATGAAATTCAGAGTAATTATGAGCTTGTTGCTGGTTTCACAATCTTGTGAACACCCACAAATTCCTCCAAGTTCCTGCACGATGAAAAATACACCACTATTTACTTAATAGTTTTTATATTTACCTAACAGTTTGTACTTTGATTTTTTTTGTTACAGTCTGTTATAATAATAGTCTATGTAAACAGTTGTCCAGTGACTAATCAGTGAATTTTAATAAAATTAAAATATTTTCAAAAAGTACAATTTAAGCAACTCCTAATGTAATGTTTTATTTTCTTGATTTCTTCTTTAGTTTTGAAACAACTGGTGATTAAAATAGAACAATAAACATCAATTTTAAAGACACTGTTATTTAAATGCAATAAGTATTTAATGTGTAAAGTAACCAAACAAAACTTACCAAACAAAACTATTACATCTTGCCATTTGGACTCTATTTCACTCTTTTAAATTTAAAGTCACACGTAGCAATTCCAAATAGCGGGACAGAATCGAAAGAACTCAAGTTCTATTTCTTCTTCTTTACCCTCATTGTTTATTCTGAATCTATGCTTCCAATTCAGGAATACATAGTTCCAAATAGGATGGAGACAAGAATTCTGCCTGAAGCAAGTCTGAACGATTCTGGCCCATCATGAATTCCCAAAACAAACGTGCGTATTGAGTCCAGATATGTCCTGGGTCCAACAGTATCACTGGGAGTTTTCCAAATTAACTTCTATGTAGAATACAATGCTTATTATATGTTAAGGAATTAAAATGTGCCGATTTGAAGCTAACGTGTACATTACGAAAACTCAACAGTAATTGTAGCAATTCTTTAGAATGCTATGCCAATAAAAAAGTTGAAGAGGGAGGCATTTTCTCTCAGACATTGCTTAGAACAACCAGCACATGGTGATAATAGAGAGCAGACTTTTAGTCAATTTCCTTAACGTATTTAAGTTCTTTATAGAAGAACTGCCTACACGCAGGAATGACTGCCCTCTCTCCCATCCTTAGAATATCTCAGAGGGTCGATACCTCTGCATGCTGGCAGTGACCTAGTAGTGAAAGAAGAAGTGATGATGCAGAAGACAGAGAGGGAGAAAACTGCTAGGACCATATCTCTGAGTAGAGGCAAGGGGCTGGGATCTGAGGCGCCAGCAGAGGGCTGATTTAGATAAGGGTGTGAACAGTTCACCCACTGCAACAGGAGGCAAGGCAGAGTTTATGGGTACAGAGGCAGGCAGGCCTATATATCCAAGGTATTATTTCTTAGTTTCTTTTACAGAAATGGAATTGGATTCAGAGACCTTCCACCCTCCCACAGAGGGTGGGTGTCTATGAACTCCCTTTAAGCGTCCTTTATGACCGACTTTATTTTCTCAAGTACTTTGGTCATGTCCTTCAGTTTATGTACTCCTTACTGGTATTAACACTTGAACATCAACTATACTGACCCAAATGGGGACATTGTTATGATTTTGCACTGAGATTATGAATCTCCTCCAACAGAAGAGATATGTTCTGATTTGGGAAACCCAATTGTGAACACTGTAGAATTTAGTTTCTTCCTGCTTCTCGTCTCTGAGAGAGAGGCTGCAGATCCATGAGTGGCTGCGTGGGGCTGGGAGATGGCACCCCTTGTTCTTTTCTGTTGAGTTTTATTTTGATATTTTCACACGGCTCAAAGAGAATTCCACCCAAAGGTCCTCGAGTGCCATGAAAAGGACAAGGAAAGATCATCTTTGAACAGTGGCATTGTTAAATGCCAAGAGCCTGCCTCTCCAGTGGATTATTTTGAGACATTTGGAAACACTTTTCAAAGGCTTTGCTAAGTACTCATTGTGGAAAAGGACACATTCTATATTAAACTCACACTGGAACCAGAAGTGGCCTTGGATAAAATTCTGAACTAGATGATGTTTGTCGTCTTTTTACTGCCTTTTCCCCCTTCAGTGGATGCTCTGTCCCCTTCCCCCTAAAGTCTCTTGGGGTCTTTCCCCCTCTTCCTCTTTGCCTTGTACCACTGAGTGCCAGGCAAGGCCATACGTCAGTAACTTAGATCTCGTTCTTCCCCAAGGACATCACTTCTGCTGCAGCCTTTTCAAACAGAGCTGCTCATTCTTCCTTGCCCCACAGACCCCTAGCTGCTTCTCTGCTTCCGGTGTGGTCACCCTCCAATCTACTTCCATGCTGCAGTCAGTGGAGAAGGCTGGTCTGGTCCTTCCCTCCCCACCAGCCTCAGCTTTGCCACGGCTCTCCCTGTTCTTTATCCTCCGGCCAAATCGAACTCCCCTCATTTCCTCAAACCCACCATGTTCCCTCTCACACCAAGCTTGGCTTGTACAGTGCCCTCTCCCTGGAACACGCTTCCTTGCCACCTTTCTTTGTCCTTGACTCATTCCACAGATCTAAATTTAAGAGTCCTGCTCCAGGAAGCCCCCCCTGCCTCCTGGTATTCAGGTTAGTTGCTCCTTATAAATAATTTTTCGTACTAATTCCATTATATTGTAAATGCTTGTGTATTTTCTCCTTCTGGCTCTGCCTACAACGATTTCCTATTTTGAGGGAAGAGGCCCAAATACAGGGGTGGTGGTAGTTGATGTTAATATCAATGTCAATGCTATAGTGCTGATCCCTTAGTCAGAACTTATGATTTGTATGTTGGCTTAAAAATATTGAATGAATGAATGATAGGATGAATTTAGATCAATGCATTACTTCCCCTGAAGAGAGTTACATTTTAGTGACAAATTTTCCCCCACAAATAAGCTAGAAATTCCACTTTACAGTAGTTTAACAATAAATTCAAATCAATAGCATTAAATGAATGCTTTCCATATTGAAGGTACTATGCTATGAACTCAGGGGTCATACAAGGATGAATAATACACAGCCTTAGTTCTCAAGAAATTGAAAATCTATCACACTTATAATTACAAATATATTTTTTTCTTAATAAACACACCCATATGTCTTCAAGGGGTTGGAAAGCTTAAAATGTTTATTTTTAAAATTTGATTTAAATTTGTTAGTGAAAGCTGCTGAGAGTAAAGAGGAAGCACCTTTAGACCTTTTGCTCCTACTGTGTCCTCGGGAGCAGGTAATCTCATATAATACTCAGTAGCCGATAACGTGGGTGTTATTTCTGGTTATGAAATGAGAGTATCTGTCTTTTGTTAAAAGTATTTTGGAACCATTCTGTAGCTGCAGGAGTCTTTTCTTCCTGCACTTGAAACAATACCAGATGCTTAATTTCCTTGACCTGTCCACATAAGAATCAAACGCAACCTAAAATTAAAACGGGGAGTTGTTGTTTTCTGCATATAGAGTTTCACTTTAGCAAGATGAAAAGAATTCTGGAGATGGATGGTGGTGATGGTTGCACAACAATGTAAATGTACTTAATGTCAGTGAACTGGACACTTCAAAATGTTAAGATGACAAATTTTATGTTATGTGTATTTTACCACAATAAAAAAAAAATTAGATCCAACCTAAAGAAGAGAGCCTCCCCTGATACTTTTTAATACTCATTAAGGATTAATTTACATATCACAAAATTCACCTGTTTTAAGTGTTAAATTCAGTGGTTTTGGTATATTCACAGAATTATACCATTATCACCACAGTCAATTTTAGAACATTTCCATCTCCCCCAAAAGATCCCTCAAGCTCATTTTCAATCACTCCCTGTTCTCATCCCAGCCCCAGAAAACCGCTAACCTAATTTCTGTCTCCGTATATTTGCCTTTTCTGGATATTTCATATAAATAAGATTTTACAATACAGGCATTTTTGTCTCTGACTTCTTTCACTTAGTATAATGTTTTTGAGGTTCATCCACATTGTCCATTCAGGTTCATGCATGTATCAATACTTCATTCCTTTTTATTGTCAAATAGTATTCCATTGCATGGCTATGCCACATTTTATTCACACATTCATCCCTTGATGGACATTTGGGTTTTCTCCACTTTTTCACTATTATCAACAGCTCTGCTATGAACATTCGTGTATAAGTATTTGTGTCATTTCTCTTGGGTATGAGTGGAATTGTTGGGTCATATGGTAAATTTATATTTAACTTTTCAAGAAACTGCCAAACTGTTTTCTAAAGTAGCCGCACTATTTCATACTTTCTTCATATCCTTGCCAACACTGGTTTGTGCCTTTTGGTTTTCTATTTGTTCCCTCTGTTCTTTATTGCTCTTCTCTTTTTCCTGCCTTCCTGTTGGTTACATATACATTTTTTAAAATTTCATTTTGATTTATCTATAGTATTTTTGTGTATATTTATTTGTGTAGCTTTTTTTAGTGGTTGCTCTAGGTATTACATCATACATGTATAACCTACCATAGTCAACATTTTAACCAATTCCAGTGAAATGAAGAAATCTTATTTTCCTTAATCCTCCCCCATTGATAACAGAATTTGAGAACCACATGAGGCAATAGTACAATTTTTGTTTCAATGGTCAAACCCACTAGCAAACTCAAAAGGAGGAAAGTCTACTATATTTACCCATATTTTAATTTTCATTCTTTTTCTTTCCTTCCTAATATTCCTCCTTTTATGATTTCCTTTCTATTTCAAGAACTGCCTTGAGCTATTCTTTTAGGGTAGTTTTGCTGGTGATAAACAATCTTAGTTTTCTTTCTTCTGAGAATGTTTTGATTGTCCCTTTTTTTCCCTGAAGAATATCATCACTGACCATGGGATTCTGGGCTGGCAGTTCTTTTCTTTCAGCACTTTTTTTTTTTCCAGGCCACTTCTTTCTGGCCTCCATGGTTTCTGATAAGAAATCCACTTACATTTGAATTGACTATTTTCTCTTTGTTGTTCACATTGGGTATTTCTATTGTTCTGTCTTCAAGTTCACACTGATTCTGTCCTCTGTCATCTCCACTCTACTGTTGAGCCCTGTATTAGCATTGTAGGGCTGCCAAAACAAACTATCATGAACTGGGTAACTTCACAGAAGTTTATTATTCTTGGTTTGACGTTTGGCTCAAAGTTTGAAATCAAGGTGTTGATAGAGTCATACTACCTCTGACACTTGCAGGGGAGAATTTCTTCCTTGTCTCTTCTAGCTGCTGGTGTTTGCCAGGAATCCTTGGTGTCCCCAGGCTTGTGGATGTGTCATGCCAGTCTCTGCCTCTCTTGTCACACGGCTGTCTTCTTTCTGTGTATATTTGTCCTTTTCTTATAAGGGCAGCCATCATATTGGATTGGGGCCCATCCCATTCCA